TAAAATGGTTCATTCGTTGTTCACGTGAAAGAAGCGTTGCGAAAACTTTGTAAAATATTTCCATTCGCAGTGTTTCCAATCCTATAAAATAGAACCAATCATTCGCATCGCTTTTTGACGATAAAAACAGAATTTTAAAAATTTGACTGAATTTATGCGATCCCATCTATTTCAGCAATTAAATTTCAGCAATTAATCAGTATCATTCTCTTCTCATTCAGTTTATGCCTCCTAACCGTTAGCAAATTTCGAGAATATTTTTTGAGCGCACTCGATATTCTCAAACAGTCTCTTTGGAATATCGTTCCGGTTTTGGTGGCTTGATTCAAATTCTCGAATCGACCGTCTGAATAGCTCTCATCAAACCGTATTGATATCGAACAAGTATGACAACAGAACTGTTATGTAAGTAGGTTATTACATCATAAAAACAAGCAAAGAAAATTTGGTATGTTTTGCTGACTTATTATTATGATGTCAATGCTATTATAACTATAAATATTATGACATATGACCATAAATATTATGTCAATCTTATGACATATGACTAAAAATATATGTCAATGTTATGACATATGATTATAAATATTCAAATTTTCGAATATTACTATGATGCAGTTAGTGATTTCAATGGATGGTGATGTCAACTTGAGTGTGGTGACCAGAAAATGTAATAAATAATTTGAAATTTTCAGTCGTGATTGCATTTGTGCCTTCTCCCAAAAATCACTTGTGCACTTACGAAATTTGCACAATACGTTCTATGACATAACTTTGTTTTCTATCGTTTGTACGCTTTGAATAGAATGATGCATTCGTTGTTCATGTGAAAAAAGCGTTGTAAAACAAGTTGTAATTCCATTTGTAGTCTGTACAATGTCATAAAATAGAATCAAGCAACCAATCGCTTTGTGACGATAGAAACGGAATTTTAAAAACTGATCACCCCAAAATTCATCAGTATTCATCATTCGCTTCATCGATGACTTCGAATAATGTTTACTGTTGGCTTTGAGTGCGTTTCTTAATTGACTTATTCGAAGGGACACAATTGAAAGTAACAGAAAATAAGCTTCGAAATACTCTTCAACACTGGCTTTCAATGACGAAAAGCTTGAATATCTCTATTGTAAATGTAATTTTTTCGTAGAAAGCCCAGAATTCCGTTCCGTTTCTTCTCTTATCTGAAAGTGAATCGCCGAAAGTGAGTGAAATTGCTCTCCCTAAAAAATTCGTTCGCTTTAAGCATGAGAACTGTTCTGTGGATAAAATGTGCTCCTCCCAGTTATGGATATGTTTTTTAACATTCCACTCGGCATTAACTGTGATGGTATGCGCCAGCTGCTTTTCGCATCTCAACAATTTGCAGTCATCAATCGTCTTTTAAAAATCATGATGCATTTTTAAATTTAGAATTTGATAACGACAAATATTTAGGGTTGTTTACAGTTTCACTTGCATATAAAATGAATTTGCAAATAACAAATCAAAGTTTAGAAATTTTTCCTCTTTGCAAAGTTGTTTATTAGAGCATTCATCGAAAACAATTTCAACGCAGCAGCATGCAAAATATCGGAGCGGAAATATTCTCCCCTAGAGGGCTAGAGAACAAATAGTGCAGGAGACAACGGCAAGTGGAGATGCACGAGATATAGATTTTTGATTTCAACAGCT